TTTTGATCACAAAACAGCCAAGGTAAGACCTAATTATTGTCAGGGATTTGAAAACTGATATTGTTTACTTGCTATGTTGTGGCTGCCAGCTCGGTTAATGTTGTGCCTGTAGTGATGGGGTGTACACCCATGGAATCTGTGGAATCTCAGCTTTCAGAAAATGTGTTGTTTGTGCGGAAAGGATGAATGATAAATGATCGTTTTTGTGAGTTATGAGCAGACATAGCAATTGCCCGTTTTTGACATGGGGTCATTTAGAGGCTTCTTGTGAGACTTCTTTTTCGATTTTTTTTTTTTTTTCGTATCGTCAGTAAGCCAAGTTTCCTCCGGTCAGATGGGTATGGAATATTAATAGTTTCATGAATGACACTTCAGATATAGCACTGTTGCTACATATATAGCATTTTCGGACCCGAGCTCGGGTCCGTGGGGCTTAAGATTAAACTGTATTCTTGTTTTGTTTTGTCATATAGTATTTCAACTGTTTTTCATTTATTCTCTCTGGCTGTCCATCTCATAATGTTCACATAGAAACTAGCTGTCAATAGGAATATCATTCAGAAGAATTATAATTTCTTGCAAAAATCTGTCACAAAAAGAGGTTGCACATTTAAATTCAGGTGTTGTTAAAACAGCCACATTTACTGCTGCAAATACGTTCAAACATGCTGTTGACACGTAAAGCAGTGGCAACTATGCCACCATTTCAGCTGACTTTTTCTCAGAAATACTGTCACATAACATCCATATATTTCAGTGCTAGGTTGATGCTTAGCTAAGCTAACTATGAAACACTTTAACTGACAGGACTCAGGATCAACTGTGGTAGCTTCTAGCTTCATGTCGAACAGTAAGTCAACATTTCCCAGAGAGCTTTCTTTGAAATCACCAGGTAACGCTAAAAAACATTACATTTAGATTGTATGACAAAGTGTTTATTTAATATATCTGGCTAGCTATAGCTTCTTGCTAACGGTTTAGCTTACCCCCGCGATTCAAAGTAACGTCAACGTAGCTGTAATTTATGCTTTGCTTACATGTTCGCATAACTTGGAAGTTTACTGACATTTACATACCTTGTTTACCTGGCTCAAGTGGTGGCTCTGGGGTTGTTGTGTGAGCCACCACTTGAGAAATGTCGTCTTTTTTAAGAAAATGTTTTCTTATGTCCATCTTCAAAAACTCTGAGTCCGACTGAAAGTTTATTTTTAACATTGTCCCAGCTCACAGGATAGGTACCTGTCAGCCAATAAGACAGATGTTTATTTCCATTCAACTCTCCGGTTGGTCTGGTGTCTTGCCTCTGTTGCATTCACTGAACACAGGAAATTACAATCCTGCCGTCCTCTCTTGTGTCATGATGAGGTTCAGGTAAAGCACGGTTAATGTATTATATTATTGACTCAATAATATAATACATGACTTTGAGAGTAGGCAATCTAGGCATATTAACACAATTAATTAAACATACATATCACGGAGACGGTGTACTGAGATTTTTTTTTGTTTTGCTAGGGGGCCCCTTAGTGGCTGCGGGGCCCTGTCGCTTAATGGGTCGGGCCGGCTCTGCCAGTAATTCAATATATATATATATACGATTCTGAAAAGGGCCATGATGCATAAGGAGCACTATTACTTTTGGTACTTTAAGTATATTTTGATACCAATGCTTTTGTACTTTTACTTGTTACACAGTATTTTTACCCTGTAGTATTTCTACTTTTACTTTAGTAGAATATCTGAGTACTCAGGGCCGCCCCTCCCTACAGGCCAATCACGCAGGCTGCATGGGGCCCCGCATTGCACAGGGATCCCGCCCAGAGGGCCTCAGCTGCTGTGAGCAGTCCTCCGCGCAGTTCTCCGCGCACCCACCCCCCCGCTGACAGGTGTTTAGAGTTGGAGAGGTCCTGATAATTTATTCCGGTAAATTACTCTGACCTACTAATTGACCTGACCGAAGTTATTGAGTCTATGTAAGGTTGCTGCTTGGCTCAGATCCACCAACGTCAGCAAGATCTCACCTCTTCCTAACCCCCCGAAGAACCAGGTTCAATTAACTGCTGTTTCAATTCAGACAACTCTTTTTTAATCTGTTTAAGGGATCCCGAAGGATTTTGATATCAGTAAATGGAGTGTGCTCCTACCTAAGTGTGTGTGGCAGGGTGCAATCTTACCTTTGATGCAGGAGAGGAGAGCACAGGTGTCTTTTAAATTATCCCAATCCAACAGGTGGGATTCAGTTTATTTGAAGAAAAATAGGTCCAAACTAATACAGGGTTTTTACCTTCTCTCTTTACAACATTATAATTATACTAAAAACCTGGTGCTGTGATCATGTTCAAATATGAAACTTTAATTCACAGTCTTACATTTATTACCAAATGGTTCTAATTTCAACTGCCCAATTCAGTTGTGACATTTTAAAATTCTCCCGATAGAATTTAGAGGTATTTCCTCGTAAAAAGACCGGTGACCATAAAAAGCGCATTCAACTTTCCATTCACCAAATCAATTCACATTAGTTTCATACCCTTTTTTCCGACACAGACGGCGGGTATAACATTCAAAAACCCATACCTGTCCGCAATTTCGGAGGGAGAGATTTTCCTCACAGGTGGCGGGCTATAATATTCATACACTTTTTCCGACACAGACGGCGGGTATAACATTCAAAAACCCATACCTGTCCGCAATTTCGGAGGGAGAGATTTTCCTCACAGGTGGCGGGCTATAATATTCATACACTTTTTCCGGCACAGACGGCGGGTATAACATTCAAAAACCCATACCTGTCCGCAATTTCGGAGGGAGAGATTTTCCTCACAGGTGGCGGGCTATAACATTCACAAACACATCTCTCATCAAATCATTCCACTCAGCCAACAACCAAGAAATTCGAGAGATATTTACCCCGTCTGGCAGAACCTTACCGAGAGCTAGTTACCCAGCTCTGAAGCACAAAGCCTACCGGGAGAGAGTCTACCAGGAGAAACCCCCCTCTCTCTCGCGCTCTCTCAAAAAACCAGTCTCTTTATGCTAAAAAAACTGTATCGAAACCCCAAAAAACAAACTCTTCCTCTACACCCAATTTGTGGAAAACTGCGCATGCCCTCTAATGTACAAGGCTAAACATGACCCGACATGTTCCATAGCTTTATGGCATAAGACACACCTTCTCATGTTAGTGAAAAAAAGACTTGACCCTTTTTTTAGGCCTCTGTGTTTCTCCTTAAGCCTGGAGCCCCCCTCCCTGTGTACTGCTGTCACAGGAGAGGAAGAAAACGGCCTACTCTCTTTATCAGAGACACCCATAAATCATAGACCTTACACACTCAACCTAAACAAACCACTTTGTTTTGTTTATACTGTAACTATAGAAAAACCTAAAATATGAAGCATTTTCATTGTGGGTTATACAAAAATATAATTGATTATATTTGATAATAACTAACTTTCGTTTTTAAGTATTAAACATACTATGAAAACTCACAACACCCTCTTTTCAAAACGCAAAGTTATCAAATAGCAACAGAACAAATTGTAAGCATACATACATATTCAAAAACCGTCAAGAAGCATTCTCATTATGGGTTTATACAAGAATATGATTGATCATGTATGATTTATAATTAACTTTCGTTTTTAAGTATTCACTTCATATGAAGATCTCAACACAAGCGAGAGTGAGAGGTGAAAAGGGGAGCACGTCAGTAACCCGACACCGTTGCAATGAATCGACATCTGACCAATCACGGCTTCGATACGGCCACTAGTGCAGGTGAAGAGATGTCGGTGAAAAGACAGTTTCAGTCCGGCGCAAGCAAGAGGGGAAAAAAACAAAACATGAAGAAACTAGAGCATCACTCGAAGGTGGCTTATTGTATGAGTCAAATGTACAACTTGCGAATGTTGTATAAGTCAAATTGCCAATTGCCATATTAAAGCATCAGCTGCAATTCACGACATGAAGAAGGCAGTCTCTGCAGAGCATATAGGCTAATGGGGATGCAATTATTTCCAGCATTCTTTATTTACCATTCATTCAAGTATGTTATGCCATTTATCTGCTAATGTACAGGAGGAAGAGTGATAAACTGTCTGTCTAGTTGGCTTACATAACAGTTAAAGTTTACAGCCTAAAAAACATGGAGCATTTTTTCCCCTTTTATTCATTTTTATGTCAATTTGCACATTTCATGGTGATGCTCAGCCTCTCCCCTTAACTCCTAACAGTCATCATCATGTCAACCACAACACAGATAAATACTGATAGGAATGTGTGTGTAGTTGTTGATACATTGCTGACAGAGGGAACTACGTTTGAATTCAGATTTAAGAAATATCAGTTCATAAGCATGTTTTGTCTTGACTATATTATAATAAAATAATATAGTATTTATATTATTGAATTGATTATGATTATGATTATTAGCAGAAGTAGTTTATTTGCATTAATTATATTTTAATCTTTTTGAGGCTAGTATTTGGCAGGAAATGCAGACTTATTCAATTCACCTGTAAACGCATTTTGAACGACATACATGCACATTTACCATTTACCTCACTGTATAAAAAAGTAACTGTGTTGATAATAATAATAATAAACAGGAATTATATTTGCAAAGTAGCCTACTTTGTTTTCAAAAAAATGTTCACTCCTATCGGTTGGGGGGGGGCTTCATCTCACAATGTCGCTTGGGGCCCCAAGTTGGCCAGGGGCGGCCCTGTGAGTATTTCTTACACCACTGCTACCATGAGTGTGGAGCTGTGTGCTACAAAAGCCTGAATTTAAAACAAATATTGTACAGCTGAACTTGAGACTGTTTTCAAATGTCGAGCAGGTTGTAAGCGAGGCTCCGTTTGCAAATGAGGAAACAGTTCAGTGTCAGCTCCTCCTCCTGGAATGAGTCAGAGTTTGATAAGCCCTCCCTCTTCTTCCTGCTTCAGACACAGCCAGCTCCACTTTGTATTCGACAAAGGCCACGCCCCTGATACAACTGCCTACCGTTATAGAATATCAGCAGTTGTTCGTCCCACATTTTATTCGGTAACGGCGTCTCGTCGCTACGGGTCTCTCTCTCTCTGTGTTCCTGAGAAAGTGTGTGTGAGCTCCAGCACTACTGATCCATCATCTGTGTGTTTGGATAAACCTCTGAATGGACTGTGTGCTCTTTTTTCTGGAGCGTTTACCTCGGACTACAGGAGCTAGCTTAGCATGCTAGCTGGAAACACGTTAGCAACGCCAGTCAGATTGAGAGTTTGATGGAGAGAGAAACGGTGTGTTTAACGGAGCTTGCAGGAAAAGGTGATCTAGGAAACATGAGTAAAGTCCAAATGCTGCTGTCGTTGAAGAAGCAGCGACTCACTGCTGCTGCTGAAGAGATATTTGCTTTGTTTGAAAAAACGATAGCCGAGTACGAGGAGGAGCTGTCTCTTTCCAAAGAGGAGAACAAGAGACTCCAGAAACTTCTGGACGCTGTTTTACAGCCTCAGCTTCGGATACACAGAGCAGGTCTGTTCCCTTTACCCTTAATTAACACTTTACACTCTTCAGTAGCACTTTATTATCACAGTAATAACACTTTAGACCCTTTATCAGCACTTGCTGCAGGTAGTAGATCCTGAAGTAAAAGTACAAACACCACACTGTGAAAATACTCCATTACAAGTTAAAGTACTGCATTAATATGTTATTTAAGTAAAAGTATGCAAGTATTATTAGACACATGTACTTTATTATGATAATTAAAATGTATTACGGAAGAGCAAACCTACCAAAATAAATATATTTATAAAAATACATACATTGAATAATATGCCATTTAATTTACTGATTTAAATATTACCCATACATGTAGGCACTAGTTAGTTAAATGTGACATAATTTGATAATTTAGTTTTAATGTGCTTCTTTATTCACCTTTTCTTTTTAAATGTGAAAAAGCAAATACAAATAAATACTTTGGATTAATTCAAATTGCGCGAGGATAATTCATAAAGAAATCAATGAATAAATATGTTCAATAATACATTAAACACATCTAAAATGTTACTTGTTAAAGAATAGGGGAACTAGTACAAAGGTCATTAAGTAATTAAAACGTTAATATAAATTACGGTGGCCCTGAAGTGCAAGACACCACAGCATTTCACAAAACGCTGCAGCATTTCAGAAAACGCTGCAGCATTTCACAAAACACAACAGCATTTCACAAAACACCACAGCATTTCACATTGGACGGAAAGGGTATTCCTTAGGGAGAACACTTCTTGTTTGTGATTGGACAGAGCCAGCCATAGGAGCACTGCTGTGATTGGTTGTTTTTGCTGCCAGTCAAGAAATGACGCTGCGTGATTGGCCCAACACATCAGCCGTTAGCTGTTAGCACACACTCAGAGCTCACAGCTCCTCATATCTGTTCAGAAACTGGACAAAAGTTCAACATATACAAAACACAGACTGTCTATGTCATGGTGAATACAGTCGCTGCTTTATTTATGTCTGTATGACGTTGTTGTGAGTGTGGACGGAGCTGCTACAGGTTAGTTTAGCCTGATCGATCCGATTCCGATAGGATTTACATGGAGATACGGCCCGCCCCCTCTCCAGCGTCTTGTTTGAATGACAGGAGTAAACACAGAATTAATGCTTTATTAATTCATGGTTTTTAAGGGGCTTATCTCCATGTAAATACTATGGTAGACCACCCAATATTCGCATCGCTCTAATCGCTCGAGTTTCACCGCGGCTGTCAGCTGCGAGGCGTATCTCCATGTAAATCAACTACAACAAAATGAACATATTTGACCGTGATTTAATTGTAATACACGTTTCAAAGTGATGCCGAAGTAACTACATACTGATAACGGTTAGTAAAAACCATGAATTAACGCTTTGACAAGTCTGCAGATAAGACGGCATGCGAAAAGCTTTTAAAATGCGTGTTTTCTGAATGGAATCGGACCCATCAGGCTAAACTAACCTGTTGCTGCTCCGTCCACACTCACAACAACATCATACAGACATAAATAAAGCAGCGACTGTATTCGCCATGGCATAGACAGTCTGTGGTTTGTACATGTTTAACTTGTGTCCAGTTTCTGAACAGATATGAGGAGCTGTGAGCTCTTGTGTGCTAACGGCTGATGTGTTGGGACATATTTAGCTGTCGGGTGTTGACCAATCACGAAGCGTCATTTCTTGACTGGCAGCAAAAACAACCAATCACAGCAGTGCTTCTCTGGCTGGCTCTGTCCAATCACAAACAAGAAGTGTTCTCCTTAAAGGAATACCCTTTCCGTCCAATGTGAAATGCTGTGGTGTTTTCTGAAATGCTGCGGCGTTTTCTGAAATGCTGCGGCGTTTTCTGAAATGCTGTGGCGTTTTCTGAAATGCTGTGGTGTCTTGCACTTCAGGGCCACCGTAATAAATTAATGTAAAATCTCATCAATCAATTATTGCCAACATGTATTTATAAAATATTCTATATATAGATATATATTTATATACACACACACACAGAATATATATTTTGAGAGAGATATACACTAGTATTAGACGCAGTCAAAAGTGTGGACACATCTTCTCATTCAAAGTTTTGTATTTATTTAAATTGGTTCTACTTTGTAGATTTATACTGAAGACATCAAAACTATAAAAGAACACATGGAATTATCTAGTAAACAAAAAAAGTGTTAAAAATCCAGAATATGATTTTATATTTTGCTGGCTATTGCAGAAAGCTGTGGTAGCCATGCTGGTTAAGGGTGCCGTGAATTCTGAATAAATCACCAACAGTGACACCAGCAAAGCCACCCCCCCCCACCACCATCTCACCTCCTCCATGCTTCACAGTGGGAACCACTCATTCAGAAACCATCCGCTCACCTTCTGTGCGTCTCACAAAGACTCGGAGGTTGGAACCAAAAATCTCTTAATTTGGACCGATCAGGCCAAAGTACAGATTTCCACTGGTCTAATGTCCAATCCTTGTGTTTCTTGGCCCAAACAATTCTCCTCTTGTTGTTCATCCTCAGTAGTGGATCGTTGCAGCAATTGAACCATGAAGGCCTAATTCATGCTGTCTCCTCTGAACAGTGCATGTTAAAGGTCCCATGTCATGCTTTTCCTGTTATTACCCGTCCCCTTGTGTGTTTTGTAGCCTTTTCTGCAAACGGTCTGCAGAGTCACAAACCCTCAAAGTACACCCAGTAGAGAGTAAAACTCTAACACAGAAAAGACGTGTCTATTATTACGACCCGCCCTCTACTCCGTGGTAGTGGCTCGTGGGGAGACCCGCAACATAAAATAATACACGCAAAAACCAGTACTTGATTACGATCATTTATTGAAGTACAGCTGTTTACTCACACAAGCAATCTGGCAAACGAAAAGAGGTCTGGAGGACTGGCCAAAATAAACAAACAGAAGGAGGTAACCCGAGCCAGCCACACCACGGGCCGTAGGACCCAGAGTTTCCCTCCCCTAACCAGAAATCAAATAAATACCCTATGGGAAACAAAATAAAGCAGCGAAAACTGGACCACCAGGTCCTCCAGGCTAAACATAAAAACATCAGCAGATAAATGGTCCACAGCTCAAAAGTAGCAGAGAGATAATTAAAGGTGAGTGTCTCCCGGCGTTAGGATAGGCGAGACCTCCTTCTCCTCCAGTTTCTCCTTATAATACGGCTGAGTGGAATTAGGAAAATCTGGGCAGAGGCGGAGCCATGGGCAGACCTGGTGGACCTGCGCAGCAGGGAGACAGAAAAGACAACAAGGAGGGGAGCATGTAACATCTATGCTACCCCAGAACGCCTCGTTGGAGATTTTTTCATTTTTTCCTTCCGGGGCATACTGTCGTAACGAAGTCCAAATGGACCAATCCGCGGAGCTGCGCACACACTCACTCACTCAACCTCATCTTTTCTCAGCCGCGCTGCTGCGCGGAGCTCCGTGCACAAACACACTCAGAGCCCAGGCTGAGTGTGTTTGCTCAGGCTGAGCTCCTCGCTGTCTCGCAGACCCCACGCAGCAACCAGGAAATGACACCAGTAATCCAGCTCACACTGTCCGCTCCTCGAGCCTCAATGGGCGGAGCAGCGAGCCCCGCAACATCCCGCCAATACGGCACCCAGATCCCACGCAGCATTCTCATCTGTTTATCATTACTAGTGTCATTTTCTGGTTTCTATACAGAGATGCTTTATGAGAAACCAATGTGAGTTTGGAACAATGTGAATCTATTCTAGTAGACCTCAACAATGGAATTATGGTCAGTAGAAATGGCCATGTCATGGGACTATGTGGGCTCTAATCTGAGGTGCTTTTTAATTTGCTGGTAACAGGGGCGGCGGGTGCTGTAGGCTAGGGAAGGTTAAGCCTTCCCAAATATAGAACGTGTTCGCGTGAAATGGGCGGGGTTAGCTACATTTGACCAATCACAAACAGGGACAAGGGTACTGACAGCGCAACATCATACTTCATTAATGAAAAGTAAACTAATATTATACAAATATGAACTTTAAACATCCATGATGACTTAAACATATAATCCAGGATACAAGCCACATAGTTGCACCTGCAAGGAGAATACAGAACAACTCGTTAAAAAATAAACTACCGAGTGTTTGAAAGCGTACAACAGTTTTATGATACTGCCCCATCTAAAACACGAGGGGATCTGACTTTATTACTGTCTAATCAGCATCTTGATATGCCACACCTGTGAGGTGGGATGGATTATCTCGGCAAAGGAGAAGTGCTCACTATCAAAGATTTTTTCAGATTTGTGAACAATATTTGAGAGAAATGGTTATTTTTAGGGATGCACGATAATTATCGGCCCGATAATTATCGGTCCGATATTAGGAATTATGACGTCATCCCGATAAACCCGATACCAGTATTAATAGCCCCGATTATATACAATATATATTTTGGGTAAAAAAAAAGAAAAAAATACTGCGGTGTGGGTGGATTGGGATGAGGGGCGCTTGTTTTTCACTCGGCTCCTCCCATTTTGCCTGTACTGTGGTATTAGTGGTTTAGGAAGAGGGGAGTTCTTCACAAATCCAGCGCTCCCTAACTCATGCCTGGCTGTGACGTAAATGGTGTGCGGCCGTGAAGCCAGGACAGTAAACAAACATGTCGTCGGTGGTATGGGCGTTGGAGCTATGTGCAACTCAAGGCATATGCTCGAACCGGAGCTGCCTGGACGCTGCAATCATGTTGCGCACTATCCGTGCTGAGTGTGCTGACTTTTCGTACAATGTCCCACTGTCTGGCTTCCTGCATAAAGTCTAGTGCTCGGCGCAGTTGTGGCGAAATGTCGCTCCTCTGTTTTCATTTAAACAGCTCCTTATATCCGTTAGCGCAGCTAGCTAGCACCAGATGCTAACAACAACAACAATGCACGTAAGGTCTCTCTCTCGCTCGCTCGGGCCACACATACACACACCCTCCCGGTCCTCCAGATGGCCAGTCGGTGCCTGCCGGTGAGCGTGGAAGTGTGGTCTGCCACAAGCGGACGGCAGGAGCGGGGCTGTCAGCATCAGCTTGTAGATGGTATTTTAAACTCGATGCGCTCTGAAACTACGGGGCGGCCAAGGAAAAAAAATACACATGCGTTAATCGCGTTAAAATAATTAGTGGCGTAAACATTTTTTTATTATCGGTATTGGTCTTGAGAAGCAGAAAGTCATCGGTATCGGTATCGGTTTCAAAAAACCAATATCGTGCATCCCTAGTTATTTTGTGTATATAGAAAATGTTTTAGATCTTTGAGTTCATCTCATGAAAAATGGCAGCAAAAACAAAAGTGTTGCATTTATATTTTTGTTCAGTGTACATTAAACACCGACGGGGAACATTTTTACTGCACCATCATTACTTTTACATAAGAAGGTGCCGTCAAATGTTCTGTTAATACTTGCATACTTTTACTTAAATATGGTTTGAATGCAGGATTTTTATTTCTAACAGAGTATTGTAATTCTATACTGTAGGCGTAGTGTATCTGTGAACGATCCCAAATACAATTCATTGTTTACATTGCAGCTAGTGCTACGCCAGAAGAAAAAAAACGTTTTCACTTTTAACTGGAAGTGGAAAGGGGCGGGGCTACATAAGGTGAATTGAGCCAACACAAATACACAATAGGTGGGACTAAGAAAGATAATGTGAAAATATAAAAACAAAGGCATTAATTAGGACTGCAAAATGTCTTCCATTGTAATGGTAATTAGATTTTTAAATGCCAACACTTAACAGTTTGTTCTGACTGTGTGTTTCCTGTTTCCTGCAGATGCCCAACTGCTGGTGGTGGTTAAAGAAGAGTTTCTCCCTGACCAGCAGGAGTGGAGCACCAGTCTGGACCCGGAGGACCCAGAGTCCCCCCCACATATTAAGTGGGAGGAACTCAGGATCAGTCAGGAGGGAGAGCAGCTTCAGGAGCTGGAGGAGGCTGAGATCACCAAGTCCACTTTCACTCCTGACCCAGTGAAGAGTGAAGATGATAAAGAGAAACCTCAGTCCTCACAGCCTCATCAAAGACAAACTGAACACATGGAAACAGAAGCTGATGGAGATGGACCAGAACCAGCCAGGAACTCAGATCCAGAGAGCAGTTTACAACCAAAGACTGAGGACGACACTGGAGACTCTTCTGAACCTGACACTGAAGACAGTGCTGATTGGAAGGAGACCAGAGAACCTGCATCAGGCTCAAACTCACTGAAAAATAGACATGAATCTGTCAGTGATCCACGACGTAGTGCTGAAAATAAACCATTCAGCTGCTCAGTCTGTAAGAAAGCTTTTTCACGGAGTGGAAATTTAAAGGACCACATGAGAATCCACACAGGAGAGAAACCATTCAGCTGCTCAGTCTGTAAGAGAGCTTTTTCACAGAGTGGGCATATAAAGGCACACATGAGAATCCATGCAGGAGAGAAAGCACACAGCTGCTCAGTCTGTAAGAAAGCTTTTTCACAGAGTGCAGATTTAAAGAAACACATGAGAGTCCACACAGGAGAGAAAGCACACAGCTGCTCAGTCTGTAAGAAAGCTTTTTCACGGAGTGATAGTTTAAAAAAACACATGAGAGTCCACACAGGAGAGAAACCACACAGCTGCTCAGTCTGTAAGAAAGCTTTTTCACGGAGTGATAGTTTAAAGACACACATGAGAGTCCACACAGGAGAGGAAAAATAGAGCTGCAATGTTTGTGACAAAAGATTTAAATGGCATAATCGTTTCAAAAGACATAAGTGTGTTGGTCGTCAGCTGCTTCTGTAACTGTAAGGGAATACATTTGTCTATTTTGTATCCTGATGACCTAATGCCGTTACATGTAATACGTTACTCCCTAAGCCTGATTTCACCCACCTGCAACCGATTCGCTAATAATCACAAATCTTCATTTTCTTTGACCCCTTGACTCGACTATTTCTTGTTTAATAATCGTTACATCTCCTCAGGACCAAGTTCCCGTGTCCTGCTGATCACCGACTATTCATTTAAGGTGGACTCACCTTTACAAGGGACCAGCTAGTCTTATGGCGCGTTTCCACTGCAGGCCTCGCTCGGCCTCGCTCGGTTTGGTTAGGCCTTATGAGGCCCGGCTCACTTTAATGCTGTGCTTCCATTACAGTTTAGGAACTGGGGTAGTTACTATAGTAACGCAGTGTAGGCGGAGCCGTGACGTCATCTTCAATGAGAGCCCCAGAAAAACAACACAGCCGTTAGCTGTTAGCACTCAGAGCTCACAGCTCCTCATATCTGTTCAGAAACTAGACAAAAGTTAAACAAGTACAAACCACAGACTGCCTGTGTCATGGAGAATACACTCGCTGGTTTATTTATGTCTGTATAGGCCGTTGTTGTGAGTGTGGACGGTCGGAGCATATATAACGTTAGCTTAGCCAAGCTCCATTTAGAAAACACGCATTTTAAAAGGTTTTTTTTCGCCTGCCGTCTGTCTGCAGACTTGTCAAAGCATTAATTCATGGTTTTTACTAACCGGTATCAGTATGTTGTTACTTCGGCATCATTTTGAAACGTGTATTACAATTAAATCACGGTCAAATATGTTCATCTTGTTGTAGTTGTAGCCCCCTTGCCAGCGATTCTCTCTCTAGTTTAGCATACTCAGTCCGACTGTTCCTGGCCCTAGAACCACGATTTTATGGGGCCAGAAAAACTGTGAATTAGGACCCGCTAGCCGGTACTAGGCCAAGTGGAAACGCAACCAAAAACGGGCCCTGCACGGCTCGGCACGCTTAAAGCGAGCTATCCGCTGTAGTGGAAGCGCGCCATTAGTGTCTTAATGCACATTTTTTGAGAGCTTGAGAGCTTCATTCAATTTTTGTTGTCTAAAAAACAACACCAACAGTGTGATACGCCTTCTTTTCAGCAGATGGCATACATGTTACATCATCCAGTTCAACTGTCATCCACATATTAATGATTCAAAACAGTAATGTGTAAGATATGGCTAGTAATTGACCATTTCAACAGAATGTGAAGAGGTTACAGTCTTGAGGCCATGTCCAATATGTTTGTTTTGTTTGTTTAAATCTACTGAAATGAGCATTCATCCATCCATCCATCCTCTCCCGATTATCCGTGGTCGGGTCGAGGGGGTAGCAATTAACGCAGAGAGCCCCAAACTTTCTTTTCCCTGGCCACATCAACCAGCTCTGACTGGGGGATCCCACGGCACTCCCAGGCCAGCGAAGAGATATAATCCCTCCACCTGGTCCTAGGTCTATCCCTTGGTCTCTTCCCAGCTGGACGTGCCTGGAATACCTCCCTAGGGAGGCGCCCAGGTAGCATCCTTACTAGGTGCCCGAACCCCCTCAACTGGCTCCTTTCGACGCGAAGGAGGAGCGATTCAACTCCGAGTCCCTCCCGGATGACTGAACTTCTCACCTTATCCCTAAGGGAGACGCTAGCCACCCTGCGGAGAAAACCCATCTCGGCCGCTTGTATCCGCGATTTCGGTCATGAGCATTCAATGACTACATTATTCTTAATTACATCATGGGTTTGCATTGCAATACTAGAACGCATAAAACTTTAGTTCTTCCAAGTTGCGGGTGTTCATTGTTTAGAAGTCTGCTGCTTAGATCTCAGTGCTGTGTTTGACACTGTTGACCACAACATATTTACTAGACCGACTGGAAAACTGGGTGGGACTTTCGGAAACAGTTCTAAATTGGTTTGAATCGTACTTAAAGGACAGAAACAACTTTGTTTCTATAGGTAAATACACATCTGAGTTGACAAATATGACATGTGGGGTTCCTCAAGGCTCCATCTTGGGGCCTCTTCTCTTTAACATCTACATGCTACCACTGGCTCAGATAATGAAGAACAACAAAATAAGTTACCATAGCTATGCAGATAACACACAAATGTACGTAACAATTTCACCAGGAGACTATGCTCCAATTCAAACACTGAGTAAGTGCATTGAACAAATCAATGACTGGATGTGTCAGAACTTTCTCCAATTAAACAAAGATAAAACTGAGGTAATGATTTTTGGAGCCAAGGCAGAATGTAAAAAGTTAGCGCTGAGCTTCAGTCTGCAATGTTCAAAACCACAGATAAAGCCAGAAATCTAGGTGTAGTCATGGACTCTGACCTGAGTTTCAACAGTCACATTAAAACAGTTACTAAATCAGGCTACTATCACCTAAAGAATATATCTAGGATTAAAAGACTAATGTCACAGCAGGATTTGGAAACATTTGTCCATGCTTTTATCTTCAGTAGACTCGACTACTATAATGGTGTCTTCACAGGTCTCACTAAAAAATCTATTAGAAAGCTGCAGCTGATTCAGAACGCCGCTGCTCGAGTCCTCACTAACACTAAGAAAGTGGATCACATCACTCCTGTTCTGAAGTCTTTACACTGGCTTCCTGTGTGTCAAAGAATAGATTTCAAAATACTGCTGCTGGTTTATAAAGCACTGAAGCACAAAAATACATTTCTGACCTCCTGCTAAATTATGAACCATCCGGATCTCTCAGGTCTTCAGGGACTGGTCAGCTTTCTGTCCCCAGAGTCAGAACTAAACATGGAGAAGCAGCGTTCAGTTATTATGCTCCAAATATCTGGAACAAACTCCCAGAAACCTGCAGGTCCGCTGCAACTCTGACTACTTTTAAATCCAGGCTGAAGACTTTTCTTTTTGCCGCTGCTTTTAATTGAACTATTCATATCTTAGACTGCACTGTAACTTTTATCCATGTATTTTTTCTTTTAATGTTTATTTGATTAGCTTTTCTTTTTAATGACTGATTTTAAATGCCATTTTCTTAATGTCTTTCATTTTTGTAAAGCACTTTGAATTGCCTTGTGTTGAAAAGTGCTATATAAATAAACTTGCCTTGCCTTGCCTTGCCTTGCTGTGTTTCATCCAAGCTTCCACTTTGTGCTCCGATAATGCTGAAAATATCTGTTGTATGCTTTACCTGCTCCAGTAACAAAAGTGTAATTCACTGGACAGAGACACGAGATAGTGGATGGATCCAGAAAAGAATCAGAAGATAGTCCGTATAGAGCCTTCAGGTTCTGATAATGATCAGGGACAGAGCTAGAAAAAAACTCCAAAAACCTGAATAGAGCCAGTACAAAGCCAAGAAAGACCAAGTAGAAAGACAGGAAGGAGACAAAAGAGTATGTGTTTTTTAATATTCAAACTCTTCTCTTAAGATATTAGAACTCCCTATCTCAACATGTATCCTTTTATGTCCCTTACATTTTTGCTGCCAATTATTGAGATTGTTTCACAGCTTTGATATCCATTTAATCATATCTTACATCTTGGTTCTCTCTTCGGGTGTTGGAATATTATTAATACATAATTGCTCATGTCAAGTTTAAAGGGGGAGCAGTAATGTGAGGTGGCATTTCAAGTAGACTAAATAACTAATGGTTAAGATTATCATGGTTTGTTGGTCTAGGGCAGGGGCTATCTTCTAGCTCAGGGGTCTGCAACCTTTTTTTTACCAAAAGAGCCATTTTGCTCCTTTTTCCAAAACATTTTTTTTGTCTGGAGCCGCAAAACATATTTCATAGTTTTTTATTGTTATATCAGACAAAAACTACAGTTTTTTTGCATTTATTAGGCTATTTATTACATGATATAAAACTGTTAACCTCTAATAAGAAACAAATAACTCTTATAAGGAGAATTAAGAATAATACACAGGCCTACTTTAAAATAAATTAAACACAGCACTTGGGGAGTCCTCTGCACATTTGAAGGAAAACAAAATATTATTAAAATGGGCCCACTTTGAAAAAAATAAAACATATAGCTGCACCCTAAAAAGAGTTAAAGGTAGGGTAGGTAAGAATGGAGAAACCAGCTCGAGTGCGCAAGAATTTGAAAGTACACAACCGGAAAAAATATGCCTCTTCCTTCAGACTTTCTTACAGAGTCCCTCCTCCAACACACATGAACGTGCACATGACCAATGAGGGCACGAGAAAAGTTTGTGCACAGATGGAAGGCTGACAGGCAGGTAGGCCATCCAATTACTTTAGCCGAGCCGGCTCAGATGATTGGTCGTGCTTTTTACAGCGCTACGGCTTCCAGAGATTAATTTTTGTATGTATTTATTGTCAAAGCATTTCATATATTCATTGCTATCGGGACGTTAAGAGCATTCCATGGAATATAACAAAAAGTGTTTTCTGAAATAAATTACATACCCCAT